GGTTCTACCACCAGGTTGTGCAAAGATCCTGAACAACTGCTCCATGACAGCAAAATAGCCTTGGATTACGGGATTCCAGTGCTACAACTTCATATGATTCATAGCTGTAACCAGGTGAATAAAGCCTGTGTGGATCTGCCAGTCACTTCCATTAAAGACATTTCTAAAACCTGTGGCAGTAAGCCGCAACTCTCAAAGGGAAAAAGAAAAAGGCTAAAATTAAGATCATCCTTGAAATGTCACCTTGCATGGAATTTTAAGCAGCGGACTTAAAGAAACTACAGAAACTCCAATAATCTCTGCAGCCAGTGGGGCTTTTGGCAAGAGTTACTCGTTCTTCAAGTTACAGAAATATCAGAAGTGGTAAAGCTGACAAGAAGGGCAATTGGCAGCCCCTGCAAATGCATTTAGAGACAATTGCTATTTAACTGCCTCTTTTCAAAAACATTCTCCAACATTCAGCCATGCAAGCAGATTTTATGAGCAGAAAGGGACTCTGTTCTACCATTACAATGCTGCTCGGTTGGCGCTGTTCATACTAAGATACCCAAGGAGGAAAAACCCTCCTCTGTTCCTTCCACTCCCCAGAAATGTGTGAAAAGACTGAAAACAAACAAACAAAATCCCAAACCTCCTCACAGTCTTTGTAAAATAAAGCCCTCAGGTTAGGAACGGAGAGGGAAGTTTTTACCACTACGCGCTCAGTCCTTGCACCGAGCCCAACAGTCAGAGAAGTAAATTCTCTTGTTGCCAAAACAGGTGAGCACGAAACGGAAAATCCTTTGTCAGAAAAGGAAATCACAGAGTAAAGACAAGGCCTTTGGGAAACGGAGCAAGACCCAGTAATCCCGGAACCAGCTCTGCCACTGATTTAATGTGGCTTCAAGCAAGGTCCCATCAGCCCTACCCTTCAGCACTCCCGACTGTTGAACTGTAACGTTGCTTACCTCTTTCACAGCAGCGTTACCAGCCTTCAGTTGTCAGTATTTAGAGTAAGCTCTGCTATCCATCCAGCAAATTATGGACTGATACTCTTTCTACAAAGACCTCAGGATAACTCACTGTGGGTATTTAAAACTATGAAATGTTAGTATAGCTGTACCGAGATTCAGTTGCAGCACAGAACCTCACTGGCTTTCCCCAACCCAATATTGCACTCTGTGTTTTTACCTTCCACCTAATGCTGTTGCTTTCACTCTCTAACTTTATGGTGAAAAACTTTCACTCTCTAACTTTATGGTGAAACCACTGGTCTCTGATCCAAAAAGTACCTTAACCCTTTCTTCCCCTTAAAATCTTTGCTTAAAAATACACAAACACTGCCAAGTAAACACAATTTTTCATATTACCTTGTCTTGTAAGAGATGAGCTGTGCAGTTCAATTTGTAAGCAAGATCTAACATAAAAGAGAGTCTGGCCTTATTTCCTCCTCTGGACTGCTGGGGTTTGAGTCACATTTACTGAATGTCTCTATTATTTTTGTGCTGGCTTTAGAAATGCCAAGAGGTTCCTCTCATACTCCACTGACATGCTGGTTCTGGACTTCAAGCAACTCCAAGAGGTGACCAGTTTAGCCTAACTGTAGTTTGAGGACACAGGATAAACTTTCAAAATTAGAAACAAAGCAACATGGCGAGTATAATTAGAAAAAGAACCAATGTGAATATAATAAAAGTGAAATCAATTAAGATGTTTTTCCTTTTGGAAAAAAAAGGATTTTAATGGGTTTAAAAACATTTCTGTACAAAAACTGCTCAATGACCGGTATTTGCCTTCCCATGGTGACAATACTTCTGATGATTGTTCTGTTCAGCAGCAACTCCCACAGGTCCTCTAACAAGGACTATCTCTTTGGCCAGTGGTGCCTGGAACCCCTGCAAAAGACAGTTACAGGAACACTTCAGCTCTTGCTCTAAATCCATTCAAGGTTGAAAACCTATGTTGGTTACAATGATACTATTGAGAAAGGGTCATGATGCAGACAGAACCTTTCTCCCTCCAATGCTGCTCTTACCTAGTGTTGCTTTTTTATGACTAAATAATACACAAGGATCAAGTCTTGTAAGCCACACATTAAGTATCTATTCAGAACAAGAATGTTCATATTTGGCAGCACTGTTCTTCATCTTCCTCCCAAGCTAGGCAAATGTTCTCCCCACTTCTACCTATCTTTGTGGCCAAAGAAAGCGACTCCCACATCTATTAACACAAACTTTTACCTCAGCATTTCAAACCTTCCACCCAGAATTGTCTTTGATTGCATTAATCCTAAGCTTTCTCTTTTTTTCTTTTTTTCTTTTTTTTCCTTATAAACTGACGTCAAGCTGAGTAGGTGTTACGCAACCTCTTCCCATTAAACATGTGCTTAAGCTCCCACACTCTGAACAGAGGACAATAGCTATGCTTTGCCCATAGCTCCAGGGCACAGGCATGAAAACACTCCACCACTGCGATGAGAGCAGGCTGACAACAACGCACCTATCGGCTTTCCCCGCCAGGTAGGACATGCTTCGGTTTCCAGACTGTTGAAGTTTGTTAGCTCCAGCAAATTTCTGCACAAAAAAAAAAAGAAAACACCACCACCACAGTGAGGTACCTGCCAAATACAGTATATTCCATGAGATTCATGTGCTGTCAGGTCCCTCCAACTTCAAGAAACACTGCTCGTTTACACTGTGAGCTTTATGGTTTAGGACTTTACATGCATATGCGCTGAATGCATCTGAGTAAGTGCTGTGCTACTGGTCTAACCTTGACACGTGAGGTACAGTACCCCACTGACAACAAATCTTACCCATCTAGACAGAAAGATCTGCGCAGGTTGTCTTAAATTCACCAATCGGTTTCTTTTTTTCTCCTGAAACAAGTTTCAACTGACACAGAAAAGGGATTGCACAGGAAACTCTTTCTTACACTATCAGGCATAAACTTGTTCAGCTTCTAAAATACAACTTTTAATGAATATCTAAGATGCTCCCTGGTACCATTTGCCTTCCAGTTAAATATGCAGGAAGGGTGAATGCCCAGGAAAGAGGCTGAAATGCAAGAAATGAGCTTCAGAACTTAAAATTAATGCTCGAGCACCCAATGAGTTCACGCGTGGGCATCCTATTACTTCATGCCTGAATGCCCACTGACATCGCACATCAGCACCCAAACCCTCCCCACGTAAGCACTATGCAGGGTTTTAGGTAACCCAGGTCTGCAGGGGTGACCTGGGCTGAGGCACAATGAGAACACAGGAACTGCCCTGTGCTGGTCACAGGTTTCCCTAAGTATGTGTTTGTTTATGTCTTCTTTCTTCTCTTCAGTATCTCAATTAGCAATAAATTAAGTAAAAAATTCTCTGAGCCGAGACAGTTTTCCTAATGACAGTACCTAGCGGAGAATGTGGGCAACACGCAAACCTGCCATGGCATGGAATAACTGGACTGACTTTGAGATTTTTGAGAGTGCCTTGAATTTGGTATTGGGAATTTGTGGTGTTGTGCTGTGGTCTAAGTGTATGGGGGTGTAGGTGTGAACAATGTATGAAGAGGTGGGAAAAAACAAGAGAGTTGGAGGAGCCCCAAAAAAGCTCTTCCTGAATGGGAAGAGGCTATAAAACGAAGTATGAGCTTGTGATTGGAAGCTGCACCTCAGTACCAAGTGCTGTTAGGGAACATTCTGCAGATCCAGAAAAAGTCATCCGCCTTCCCCAGCGAGTCCCCAGCTGGGCACATGCCATTATCGACATTTCTGCTCCTTCTTTCATGACGTGCCCGTACCTTGCCTGCGTAAGCTTGCTTGGCAGGATCAAATTGTGGCGACTGCTTCGATTTGCTGCTTCCTAAGGGAGAGAGGAGAGAAGCTGTCACTAAAATTTTCTGTTCAATGAAAGAACACTCATTCCATGGTGTTCCTCTGATGATAAGGAGGTTTCACTGCAGTCTCCCACATGCTAAAACCCACAACAGTCTCTTAAGAGTAGGAGATGCTTTTCAATAGATACTTGTTACAAAGGAGTCAAATCTCCTTTGCCTCCTAGTTCCTGGGGTCCAATTAAACAGATGACTCTGAACTACAGAGAAAAGCAGCAAAATATGAATCCACAATCCCCTTGGCTGACGGTTTCAGGATTTTCTTTCCAAATCAGAAAAGGGATGTTAAACTGTACATTCTCCATGTTAATTTCTTTTAATATTTCCCCACTGTAAGGTAAGTGCATTATAACAGTTTGTACTGCCTTGGCACCTACATTCACACACAGCCTTCTCAGGGCTCAGCTGGCAACATTTTCCACAGCCTGCAGCACTCTAGCAAGAGATCCAGATCTTACCCGCAAACACTTTGAAGTTGGACTTGCTGTAATCAAAGGGAGTAAACTGCTTCGGTGCTTCCAGCTCCTCTGGTTGCTGGGAGGCTTTTGGACGTTTTTTCTCTTGTTTTGGCAACTCTGTTCCCGTTTCACTCATGACTCTCTCCCTCTTCTTATTAGCTTGCTCCTGCTGTGGAAGCAACCCACAGAACAGAAACAAGGACAAGTTCAGGAGAGGAGAATGAAACATCTATGTACAGGCATGAACGCCAGCATGCAAATGAACTGCCCAATGGACCGAGGCCCCAGTGACAGCTATTGCCTTTGGCAATAATAGTGCGGGGAGAAAGCCCTGTGCTCTTCTTTGGGCCTAAACTGCTTTTATTTTTCCCCTTACAGCAGGGACTTTTCAGATGAAAAGCCAAGTTGTCATTCCACAGGACACTAGAGGTTGAGATCTGCTGTGGCCCCACAGGCAGATTTGGGGAAACCCAGGCAAGTGAGGAGCAGTGAGGTGCAGCTGTGGAAAACATTCCCTACTCAAGATAATGGAGGGATGCAAGGATTTGCACAGCACAGTTGCTAGGGGCCTAATGCTACACACAGGGCAGAACCACAGAAAGATGTATCAAAAGACTGTAATTCGGGTATTTCAGAGTTATAGGGCTTAGGGTTTCATTCTGAACTATGTTATAAAGGTCAAAAGGGGCAAAGGCTGGAAGTAGGGAATTGAATGACATACCATAGCTTGCTGACGAACAGACACAATATTTTCTGTTGCCTCTTTATACACCTTCTGTGCCTGGTCACGAGCAGCTATGGAAACAGACAAGCATTACTGTAAAAAGCAGGAGTAAGTTACTCAGGAGCTTAGAAAAAGCAAACAAACCAGGTTGTAGCAAGTCTCAAACTAAAAAGAGTACAATCTCTGTCAAACAAACAATCCCATCCATCAGGAAATCCATCATGTAAGGTTTTCTTCTAACTGGGAAACAACCCATGTGTATTGGGAAAAGCATGCTAGCCAATGCATTGAGGAAGGGAAGAATGGCTGTACCTGACTGCTGGGCTGCTTTCTTTTTGGTTTCATCTTTGGACTCCTTCTGTACTTGCGTCTGACTCATCAACTTCCATCGATTGCTGATCTGCAATGAAAAAAATTACCTGGGATCACCTTCTTTGAAGTTTTATGGCAAAAGGGAGTTTATAAACTTGCTACTACATGCTGGTCTTCATTAAGAGTACAAAAGATCAAATTGGATTGTAAAAGAGATTAAGATCTGCTGCACCAGGTAAAGTAAACCATTTGCTTTAAAAGTTCTGAGCTACAAACAAGCCATGAGAACGAAGGCAGATACAGACTTCAGTAATAGTTTGTAGCTTTGACAGACAGGGAATATACAGTGGAATGTCTCCAATCCCTGGTTCTTCGAAGGATACGAATGCTACAGAAACAATGAACTACAGATTCGGAAACGTGTCAAGTCTCTCAAAACTTAGATTCTTTTTCTAAGGAGAAAAAAAAAATCCTATATTGCTGAGGTTCCCAAAGGAAAATAATCTACTTATTCGTTTCTTTAGTACTACTTGGCAGGAAATTTCAGCGCAAGTCTTACTTCATAAATTTTTGATGACGGGTCAAACTTTGCCGATTGTGAGACATAGGCAGGATTCTGTTCTGAAGGTAGGTACTGTAGAGAGGAAAAAAACATTTTGCTTTAAACACAGCACATGACACTTAGCTCACTGCTAAAATGCTACTTAAAATGTTCCAAATCAAAAGTACATATTTAAGAAACATTCTACAGATAGATCACCTTTTGGAAAAAGAAAAGTTACCACAGCTATGGCCAAGAGAAATGCTAAAGAAAAACCAAACAAAAAAAACCCCAAAAATCAACTCCCAACCACACACCAGAAAAAGTTCTTTTCATATTATTTCCTAGTAATTTGCCGCTCTGAATCTGTAACAAAGTATTCTATTGTTCTTCTGATTTATTAGAAGAGTAAAATCAGCTCACTAACTCTAGCCATAGAGATGAAAATGTGATGCAAATTAAAAAACCCTCAAACTTGATTTAAAAAAAACAGCGAGTGATCTGTTTACTATGTAGAAAGACATATATCTAAGAGGCATTTCAATGTGTTTTGAAAACAAGTCCACACGTGCGTGCTTTGCAAGGAGGACAATCTCTCGATTCCAGTACGAGAGCAGCAGCTGATGCTATATCAAGCTCTTTCAGATATGCCTGGAAAACAGCTCAGAGCATCCTCTGCACTAGGTAGTTTATGAGTCCCACTACAAATATGTATTGGAGCTTTTACCATTCTAAATGGATTTTCAAAGGACTCCATTATACGCTGAGCTTTCTGCTGTGCAGTGGTTAAAGCCTTCTCATTTCCTTCATCTTCATCACATTCCTTAAAAAAAAAAAAAAGGAAGAAATATTAAACATTAATACTTTTTGGTTTTGGCTACTGCC